TTTCTGAACTTACAAAATGTAGGCAAGTCCCAGAATTCAGGTTTCTTCCATGCTTGTGTTTGTTAAGTTCTGTCCTGCTGTTGAAGTTTGCTTGAGTGGTCTTTGGGCCTGTCACACTTCCAGCCTAACCTACCTCGCAGGGTTGTTGTAGGAATAAAACGGGGGAGGGGACAACGCTGTGAGCCACCTTGGGTTCCCAAGGAGGGGGGAAGGCATGGTATAAACGAAGGAAGTAAATCCTGCCTGGAGAACCCCAGCTGAGCCCCAGGGTTTTGCATGAGTCGTTGTGTAGGGATCGTCCCCTGACCTGGACAACCCAGGCTAGCCTGATCTCATCAGAGCTCTGGAGCTAAGCAGGGTCGGCCCTGCTCAGTATTTGGATGGGAGGCCGCCAGGGAAGCCCAGGGTCACTGTGCGGAGGCAGACAAGGGAAAACCCCCTCTGAATGTCTTGTGTTGAAAGCCTTATGGGGGTCCCCATAAGTCAGCTGTGACTTGATGACAACAACAACAAGAAGAAGGGATGGGGGGGGGGGCGGGATCCTGCATCGTGCCTCCAGTGGGGAGGGATCGACAGTAATGGGTCACCTGACCTGTGCTCTTCCATTCTAAGGCTCCTGGGTGTAGAGAAGGTAGTGAGCTATGCACTGACGGAGTGGCTGACGGATATCCGCAAGAACCAACTACCCGGCATCCTGGGAGGCGTGGGCCCCATGCATTCGGTGGTACAGCTCTGTAAGTTGCCCCCGATGGAAGAATTAAGCCACTTGGGGGGGGGGGGTGGCATGGCAGCAGCAGCAGCAGCAAAAGAAGTGGCTGCCCACTAAATGTGTTTGGGGGGGGGGGGGGGGGTTTCGAAAGTTTCCCTCCTACCAACACTCTCCTCTTTCTCTCTCCCCCGCCCCCAGTCCACGGCCTGCGCGACCTCTTCTGGCTGCCCATTGAACAGTATCGCAAGGATGGGCGCATCATCCGTGGCCTCCAGCGTGGTGCTGCCTCCTTTGGCACCTCTACCGCCTCCGCAGCTCTGGAGCTCAGCAATCGCCTAGTGCAAGCCATCCAGGTCTGGATTGTGTGGTGGTGGGGATGAAATGGGGAGGGGACTTTGCGCCTGTCCTTGTGCTTTCTGGGGCTGTGTCCAGGGTTTTAGAGCCAGTTTGGTGTAGTGGTTAAGAGCGGCGGACTCTAATCTGGGAAAACTGGGTTTGATTCCCCACTCCTCCCCCATGACACCAACTGGGTGACCTTGGGTCAGTCACAGCTCTCTCAGAGCTGTTCTCTCAAGAGCAGTTCTCGAAAGAGCTCTCTCAGCCCCACCTATTTCACAGGGTGTCTGTTGTGGGGATAGGAAGGGGAGGAGATTGCAAGCCACTCTTGAGCGAAGGACAGGGTATAAATCCAGTCTCTTCTAAAAACCTGAGCAGAGCATTTTGACTTTTCCCTTCTCCTAAAGCCTGCTTGATTTCTGCACCAGGTGCCAGTCTTGAGGTCCGTCTGCTTCTCAGCCAGGATGTGTGTGTGCGTGTGTGTGGGGGGAATAGAACAGTTTGAAATGTATCCTCTTCCTTCACCCCCTACAATCTCTTCTCTTGCCTTTTAGGCTACAGCGGAGACCGTCTATGACATCCTGTCCCCTACAGCCCCTCCCATGACGCGCACCCTTCTGGACAAGAAACACACCCGCAAGCTAAGGCGTGGCCAGCAGCCAGCAGACCTGCGGGAGGGGATGGCGAAGGCTTACGACACTGTGCGAGAGGTAACGCCCCCCCCCTTCCTCGCAACTCCCTGTGTGTGCCGGGGGCTGCGGGAGAAATGGAGAGTAGAGGCCAGCGGAGAGGCTCCGTCAGTCCTGTCAGGTGAAAGGCAACATTGGGGGGGGGGGTGTTTCCAGGCTGGTCACCTTTGGAGTTTATACCCTGCCCTGGACCGGCCTTCTGTGTGAAATGAGAGGGGTGTGTGTGAAGCTACCCAGCCTTTCCCAGTCAGTGGTGGCGAACCTATGGCGCGGGTGCCAGAGGTGGCACTCAGAGCCCTCTCTGTGGGCACGCATGCCATCGCCCCAGCCAGGCCCAGACCATCATTAAAGTGTCGAATTCTCTGCCAAATAATTTTAAGCAAATGAAAGCATTTGGGATTGCTTTCCTTACTTTGTTTGGATCATCTTAAGTTAACGTAGGAGTTGTTTTTTCTAAAGTAAAACCTCAGTATTCAGGTTAAATGGCCGTGTTGGCACTTTGCGATAAATAAGTGAGTTTTGGGTCGCAGTTTGGGCACTCGGTCTCTAAAAGGTTCGCCATCACTGCCCTACAACATCTGTTTAGCTCTCCCTTCCTACTTTTCTTTGCAATTCCATCAGGGGCGGGGAGGGCGTGGTGGGGCTCCTTAATTTGTAGCACCTTAATCAGTCCTCCAGGAGGGAAGGCAGCATGGTATCGCCTAATCTGGTTAGATGTTGGAAGCTAAGCAGGGCCGTTACTTAGGTGGGAGACTCCCAAGGAAGGGCCCTGCGGAGGGAGGCCGTGGCAAAAGCACCTCTGCTTCTCTCTTGCCCTGGAAGCCCCTCGCTGGGGTTGTTGTCAGTCGGCGGCAGCTCGACAGCCCTCCCGCACGGAACTAACCCTAACCCACCCATCCGCCTTCCTCCTCTGCCATCGTTCTCTGTTCCCTTCGTCCCCCAGGGGGTCATCGGCACGGCCCAGGCAATCTGTGACGTTGCCACCCGCGGGCACGAGCAGAAGGGCATCACAGGCGCCGTGGGAGGCGTCCTGCGGCAGATCCCGCCTACGGTGGTGAAACCGCTCATCGTGGCCTCGGAAGCCACCTCCAACCTCCTGGGGGGGATGCGTAACCAGATCAAGCCCGACGCTCGCAAGGAGGAGTCTCTGAAGTGGCGGTCAGAGGACACCCAGGAGTGACGGGGCCCCATCAGATCCCCCACGGACCCAGACCCGGGAGCGTTGGGGGGGGGAGGGGAGCCGTGCCTCTTAACACGCCAGATGTTGCACAGCCATCGAACAGCACAGTCTCCCCTTCCTCCGCCTCACCATATGAAGAACCTTTGTGGGGGGGGGGATGGGGTAGGGGGGAGGAGAGAGAAGAATGTCTCCGTCGGCAAGGATTTAGGGGGGTTGGCTTAGCTCAACATGCACAAGGCATCCTGGGGGTGGTGCCAACTCCCCCCCCCCCATGTGGCTTCAGTCTTATTTTTGTACTGTTCAGAAGTAACCTTCTGCCATCCAGCTGGTGCATGACCTGCAGCTGCTCTCCCTTGCCCTCCCCCCCCCCAAAAAAAAAGGGCAAGGGGAGAAGGGAGGGAAAACCCAACTGAACATTAAAGGACAATGTGGACTTGTTTTCAGTTCCCGGTGTGGTTGGATGGGGCGGAGGTGTACGAGTGGTGGGGCAGGGCTTTTCCTTTTCGCCCCTCCCTGTCCGGCGAAGCGTTCTGGGGTGCTCCTGGCCTGGTGGAGGCGACAAAGTCCAGAGGAGCTGTCGTGTCTCTGTATGGGCAACCCCAGGCAGCACTAATGCCATAATCCTTTCCAAATGATGAGAAGGCACAGTAGTAAGCGAGCTGAGCGCCAAAAGGAAAGGAAGAGGGGGAGCAGTCATGGGGTGGGGTGTGCTTAGGCAGCTGTGAGGAGTAATTCAGGCTGGTCTGAAGGAGGCAGGAAGAGGGTCACAAGCAGTGCTCCCTCTAAGCTGTGGAGTCTTGCAAGCAAAAATTCTACTTTGTGAGCTGCTGGCATTAAAAGTTGTGAGCGAGCGATTTGGCTCCTGCATAAATTAGCTTGCTCTGGAGCCATCCTTCCTGAGCCAGGACAAAAATCGGTGACCTGGAGGCTAAAAAACTCAGCTAGCTCACACTAACTCAGCTTAGAGGGAACACCGGTCACAAGCATTTGGAGGAGGAGGTCCACACTGGGCAGAGACCTTGGGAGTAACATTTTCTTGCATCCAGCTGTGGAACGACAGACCCTGGGAGCCTGGCTGCAGTTCCCCTCGTGGCCTCCGGGGGGAGGCAGAGTTGGGCGATGAAGGTTCTTCTTTCTCTAATGGAGCAAAATGGGACCGTCTGCTTCTTGCAGAAGGAACTGGGTCCCTGCAGGCTCAGCAGTTGTTGTTCCGGGAGAGCAAGCGGCAGACAGTTGCTCGAGACACGGGATTTAGCCGTGTCTTCCTTCCCGGCACTGCTCGACGGTGCCAGCACTGCCTTGGATCTGTTCCTCTTAAGCACAGCCGTCCCATCGGAGGAGAGAGAAGTTATGAACGTGGGGTTAGATGCTCCTTTCTGGGCTTAACGTCTCCAAAGATAGGAGCTGGTGTTCAAGTGCGTCATTTCTGTACTCCTACAAGGAAGGCAGAATCATTCCTCTCTCCCCCCCCCCCCCCCCCCCCCCGGCCCTTGTCTCCTGTGTTCTTCCTCCCACTACACCTTGCCATATCCATGGCAACCTGTTTTATAAAAAGGAAATGCTTGCTGAGGGCTGGCGTGAGAATGCAGGAGGAGGGAGGGGCCGATGGTCGGCTCTGGCTGCCAGGAGAGGAAGCCTCTGCCACCTGCCCCTTGGCGTCCAGCCTGGGACCGGGCATTCTGCGGCGGCTTGTTTATGTCCGGTTGCCCAGGCAATGCTGCAAAATGTGATGCGCCCAGGAGAGCGCAGAGTCCTGTGTGGAATGTCAAGCAGGGCCGGGCCCCCTCTGACTGTGCAGCCTGGACTCGCCAGGGAGCAAGCGGGAGGCCGGGGGCCAAAGCTGAGGGGGCGGAACAAATTTGTCCTTGGTCTGCTTTCAGATCCCATGAGATTCAGTGCGGCGCTTCTCGAATTCTTTCCCATGTCCTTAAGAGCTAGATTGTTGCCTGCTCATCTGCAAGAGGCTCTGGAGTCTCCTTGGGCTGCCTGGCACCAGAGCCCCCCAGCCAAACTGCAGAATGGAAGGAGAGGAGGAGGGTGCAAGGGAGCTGGAGCAGAGGAAAGGGGTTTTTTTGGGGGGGGCAGCTTGTGGGTGTGAAGGCTGAGAATAAATTAAGCAGTCCCCTTTTGGAACAAGATAGCATTTTTATTTAGGAGAGTGAAATGTTTTTAGGGGGTGGGAACCTCCCCTTGCCCAGCAATAGCTGCTCATACTACGTGCCCACACTCTGCTTGCCCTCTGCCGCATCCCAGGCTGGCACGAAAACCAGCCTTATGCCAGGGGGTGCTAACACGTGTGCAAGGTGCGCCACCCCCCCACCCCCCGAGTGATGACACAATCACCGCCAGCGCTTCCCGGAGAAACGTGGAGGAACCATCCTGCAGGATCTTTGTGTCGAGCTGCTGCTCCTGGAAAGAGCAACGTCGTGTCACTAAGTCGTGCTTCAGGAGTGTAGATATTCTGGGTGGGGGAAGGATCCAGGGGCAGGGGATGCTGCCGCACTGAGTCACCAGCCTCTGTTCGCATTTTGCAGCGAACGCACAGAACCCTCCAGCACATATGTGCGTGCAAGGAAAAAGAGCCACCAGTGTGTTCACTTCCCCAGGGAACTGGGTAATGGTGGGCTTTAAACCACATGATTAGTTGGGGAACGTGTTGACTTAACACAAGAATTACTCAGCACGCATATAAAGGAAAATCAAGTGTAAACTGTACAAGGACTGCTCGTGCGTTCACTGTAATGTGCGAACAGGGTGCAATTCGCTACTGGGTTCGTTGGTAGCTTTTCTGGATTTGAGTCTTTCCCGAAAGGCTCACTTGGACAGACTGTCTTCCAGGAAGGGGGTGGATTGGAATCATTAGGGCTAGAAGCTCACAGGTGTGCGGAGTCTGGTCACTGCCTCTTGCCTGACCCTGGCCTTTTCCTCTATGTCCCTCCTCTGGCCAAGTGACTGGTGTGTGGGTGTGCGCGCACTCACACATCCTCGAGGCAAAGGTGTACTGTAAAGAGGCAACTTCAGGGGCGGAGGGGCCGTGGCTCAGTAGCAGCATCTCCTTCCCATGCACAAAGACCCAAGTTCAGTTCTGGATGTAGCTAGTATTTTTAAAAATGGGGAGGTTAAGGTGGTAGGCCGTGTGAAAGATCCTCCTCCACTTGAGGCTCTGGAGGGCGGCTGCCAGTTTGGCAGTACCGACCTGGATAGACTGACATTCTGATTTTGTAAAAGGTGGTTTGGCGTGTTCAGGAGCTAATGTGAAGGCCGCTGAACTGCATTTTAAGATGTTCTAGCTGTCATTTTTTGCACACGGCAGCAGTCCCATGCCCATGCAAGGCCTGGCCCTGCACGCTCTGTGCACCTTGCCTTCCTCCTGGGGCCTAAAGGCTATATAGAAACCCCCATGTATTTCCATACGTGCAACACAAAGAAAGTCCTGGGCAGAGATCAAATATTACAAATGTCCCTTTTGGAAATTCTCCGTAGTTTGACGCCACTGGGGGCTCTGTGCTGAGGCGGCCAGGGATCGCGCAGCTCTTCTTGCCCCAGGTCGGCCTCCCTCCTGACTCACCCACTGGCCCTTTTCTACCTCCTCTCTTTTTGGGACCGAGGGCCGGCAAGAAGCCGTGCCGGGCTCAAGAGTGGATAGAGGCCGCTTCTTCTTGGTGCTTCCTCGCCGCGTCCAGGGCACCTTGCATGGTGTCAGTCAGGTGGTGCAAGCCGAGCAGGTAGCCGTCCTCGTGGTTTCCCTGGGTCCAGGCCACGTTGTGGCTCAGGTGAATGTTTTCTGGGGCGGGACGCGTCTTGCCAAAGTCAATCATCCAAACGCTGGCCTGGCCCTTCCGGTCATGGAGGAAAAGCAGGGAGCTGCCAATCACCTGGTCGAGAAAAGAAGAGCTTGTGTGGCAACCCAGAGGCGGGGCAGGGGATTAGCGAGTGCCGGTGCTCCGTCGTTGAGCCCAGGCATGACACCCAGGTCTTTGCTTATGCCAGGATTCCACCTGGAGCCTACTTCAAAATGCTGTGGTTTTTTTAAAAAATCCTTGTGTTCTGCAAACTGAATCTGATGCTTAAGAGGATCTAAACCTTCAGCATTTCTCTAAAGCTGAAGGCAAAAATGTTAAAAATGGGAATGACTGGTAATGTTGTAAACTCAAATCACAATATAAAATACTTGCCAAAAAACAAGCTGATTTGTCTGAGGATTCTTCCTCTGCCCCACCCCCACCCTGTCTCTGCTATTTTCAATATTGAGGCTCATCGTAACTTCTGTCGTCAGCATCGGGGGCTCCTCACTGTACCTGCTGGCGGGAATGGGTACGCCTCTGGGCATATGAAAAGTGCTTCTCCTGTACACCCCTGAGTGCATCTAAGATGAGGTTTGATACTTTTAGGTGGATGTCAGCCCAGCCCTCCTTGTGTTCCAAATAACACTTGTAGCATAAGTCCTACAAGTGTTGTAAGAAATGCCTTCCTGGACCAGCAGAAGGGCGGTCTAAGTCAATATCCTGCCCCTATTAAGGAGCAGCCACATTCATAAGGAGGAGGGTATCAAGGAAAAGGATGCCAGCTGTGGCACAACCACTGGAAACCGGAGCCAGACAGCCTCTGAACAATGGAGGTGTTATCCTTGGCTGCGGAGAAGAAGGTAAATGGCTGTTCCAGTGGGATGAATTCTGTCTACGGATACCACATTTAATGGGGTCAGGTGCCCTACTGTCCCCTTGAGGCTCTGTACCTACATGCCTGCCCCACCAAAAAGTGGGAAGGACTCCCCAGAACTCTCACCTCGTGTGTCTTGAAAAAGGTGGACTCCTTCAGGACCTGGCGTAGACTCTCCAGGCGAGCAAGGTACGTGCCCTGCCAAGTGAAGAAGAAGGCTTTGTAGGCACTGCTCGTATCACCGCGGTGAGGACAGGATCACTCCCCCATCCCCCGTTCACTTGTTGGGACAGTCTAGTCATGGAAGTTCAGGCAAGCCCTGCCTGGGAAGGGAAAAACAAGCCTGTCGGGGTAGGGTGGGGTAGGGTAGGGTGGGGGACATCAAATCAAGCTCTGAACTTACTGCTCAGCTCAACCAAAAAGTAGTCTTGTGCTTCCTTAAAGGTTTAACAGGTCTATTGTGGCATCAGCTTTTGTGTGCTGGAGTCCTCTTCCGCAGACTAATAAAAAGTGTCCTTGGGTGGCATGTTATATATGTAAACAGAGGAGAACAGTAGTTAGCGACAGGCACTGAATTGCAAGAAGTCCAGCTAAGCTCAAATGCATACAACATAAGCCCAGCGACTCTTCACAAGGGCAGTCTTAGGCCGGAACACCTTCTTGCTAGACATCCTAATTTTCTCTCCTAATACTGCCCTTTAGGGACAGGTCACTGGGCTTATCTTGTGTACATTTGAGTTTGCATGGGAATGTCTTGTAATTCAGGGCCTGTCGACTCCCAGTATTTACTGTTCTATTCCCATGTTTGTATGTATCTGCCTCTGACCTGGATAGCCTGGGCTTGCCCAATTTTGGGGTTGCTTCTGGCTAGTATTTGGATGGGAGATCTCCAAGGAATACCAGGGTCGTGATGCAGGGGCAGGCAATGGCAACCCACCCCCGAATGTCTCTTGCCTTGAAAATTCTGTGACTTGACAACACTTTCCTCCACCACCTCAATATGTCTGCCGACTGAGGACACACTTCATGTATCTGCTGAAGCGGATTCTAGCACACATTTAGAACATAAGCCCCATGTTTGATGAGACCAAAGGCTCATCTAGTCCAGCATTCTGTTCAAACAGTGGCCAACCAACTACCTCTGGGAAGCCCCCAAACAGGAAGAATAATGCCAAGACTCTGTTTTTGGGGTTACTGTAACAACCTTCCTCTGCAACTGGTTAGCCAGAATACGGAGCAACCGCCAGAACAAAATAACACAAAGGAATCTGTAAAAAGCTAGAGAACAATAATGCATATGCATAAAAGAGTATAATGTTTCCCTGAGGCAGAGGTCATTTCGGGGGGGATCGCGGGGGATCCCAGTTCCCCCGGGTGAGGTACGGGGGGCGGGGCACATGACTAAGCCCCACCCCCTGCTTCCGGCCACCCCGCTTCCGGCCCTCATTCAGCCAGGAGGAGGAAGGAGAAGAGGGAGGGTAAGTTGCTTCCTCCCTGCCTCTCCCCACCCCTGTCTGCCTGGGGCCAGGGAGGGCCTTCGCGGGGCTTCCTTGCACTCCCGCTGGCCTTGCAGGTCCACTGCCGGGCCCCTCATGGAGCTCGGCAGTGGAGCTGCAAGGCCGCCAGCGGCGGCCGGGACTGTTGGGGGCGGGGTGTGTGGCCTTATGACACACTTCTGGTGATGTCAGGGGGTGTGGCCTTATGACACACTTCCGGTGATGTCAGGGGGTGTGGCATATGCTACTGATTATGCTAATGAGTTCCCCTAGCTCTTTTTCTACGAAACGACCCCTGCCCTGAGGTCATCTGCATAACAACTGAGAACTGTTCAGTGTTGGCAGAGAAGGCCCATGGCTATGTGATAGAAATCTTGATCTGTGTGGAGAGGGTCCCAGGTTCAATCCCCAGCAACTCTGGTTTAAAAAATGGATCTCAGCAGATGCTGGGAAAGCTCCTCTCTGGCTGAGGCCTTGGAGAGATTGCTGCCTGTCAGAGATGAGCATACTCAGTTGAACTGCCCATTCAGTAAAAGGCTGCTTGCCAAGTTTAAATAAGACAACCTGAAGTGAACCTGTGCTGTCCTTTCCACTGAGAAGAAACTCTGTGTTCTTGAGAGGCAGTTCAATAAAAAAAAGTTGCAATCAGAAATGGGAAAAGATTTTCTGCCTTTACCATCCTAGGACTGTTTCCACATGGATGTTTGGGTCTGCCTTGGCTGCTGCTTCGCAGTTGTGCTATTTTGGAAGCATCTAAAGGCCCTTTTTTTGTCCTGCTTCTGTGTTTCTCCCCCTGCCTTGCTGTGATCTTTCCAGTATGGATGGCAAGTCTCACATTTTTGCAGGTCCCACCCCAACTGGCACTATTTTCCCCTACAGTGAAAGGTTTTTTTTTTTTTTAGCTTTTGTAAATATTGGGAAAGGCTAGGTCACTATAGCATTGTAAAGTAGATCTATTGCCATGATCTATGAATTTCCAGCTTTCATTTCTATAAAAAAGGAAGTCTATAGCCCCTTCTGTTGCCTGCACATTTCCCCTTATAACTCTGCAATAAAAAGACCTATGGATTTTTTTAAAAAATGAAAGGTGTTAACCACTATATTCTTACGATGGTGTTATAGCAAACTATTGCTATCAAGCAAATCTTTTTAAAGCTCTCTGGTGTGTGTGTGTTAGGTGAACTATAAAGACAACCTTCCTGTAAGAATGCTCCCCTGCATGAGACGACCACCTTCATGTAATCTCTTCTGATAGGGAAAATATGCAACAGGGGTGGGGGGAAGCTTTTTTAAAACATTACTCATTATAACTTGATACTTTGGCAAAGGGGAAGCAGAATTTGGAAAGTTAACATTTGGCTGCCTTCAAGCAACCAGCCACCGTTTTAATGTATTGTTTCCAAAGTGTTCCGCAACATCAGATTTCCAAATCTAAAAAATGACAACTTTGCCAAATTTTGATAGCAAGACAGGGAGCTCCGCCCCAGCCACTGCAGTTTAGCCCCGTCTTTTTCTTGCCCGGATCTCACCAGCACATCCAGGTGGTTCCTGGTGAAAGTCAAGAAGGTCTCCACAATCTGCTCCTTCGTCCGGATCTGCTTGAAATCCCTCTGCACGGCCCCCCCTTCAATCTGCAGAGACAGCATTTGGGGAGTCAGGCCTCTCAGAGAGCGATCCTGTGCTGGTTTCTTCAGACATAAAACCCCAATGACTTCTACACGGCTTACATGGGAGTGCAGCCAGAGATACTGAAGACAGCTGGCCAACCTGAGATGGGTACTGCCCAATATTACGTCCCCCCCCCCCCGTCGCCCTTGCCTTCACCCTTCCTTGCAGTGCCCACTTCCAGGTTCAGGCAAGGGAAGAGGGCTCCTTCCTCATCACTCACCGTAACGCCTTCGATACGGAATCCAAGAGAAGCGCTGGAACTAATACTCTCCCGCCACTGCATGTACCGTGGCTTGGTGACAGCCGCCTGTCCATGCTCCTGGGCCGTGGGGGCCAGTGGGTCAACCTTTACCATCTTCTGGTACAAGTCCCGCCGTGCCACTGGGCTTTGCCCAGCTTTGTTCACCTCCTCTTCCAGGTAGGTCCTGGGGGCAAGCAGAGGGATAAAAGTGAGTGAGCAGCCATTCACGATGTGAAGGGAGGCTGGAGGCCATTGGCCATCTCAGTGCTTGATCCTGCTGTCTCCCAGGAGATAGCTGCTGTGTCCCC